GATACTTTTATTTCGAGTTCGAACAAATACTCACTCGACCATTATGCGTACGGGCTACATTATTTCGAGTTCGAATCATTCACTCGACTACTAAGCCTACGGGTTACTTTTATTTCGAGTTCGAGCAAGCACTCACTCAACCATTATGCCTAAGGGCTATATTTCTTCGAGCTCGAATCACTGACTCAACTAATAAGCCTAAGGGCTACATCACTCCAAGTTTGAGTAAGCCTATGTTCAAAATATCACTCAGCTCGACCACTAAGCATACGTGCTACCTTATTTCAAGTTTCAAGTTGCTTAAATCCTTGTGAAAATATTCATAAAGGCATGGATAAAGTCTTCACAAGACAGGAAACAAAACAGGAGCAAGTCAGCAAAAAAGGTATATTTTTATATACAAAATTGTTTATATGATTGATTACAACGTAAGAATTAAGGACCATCCCCAGGAGGGGTCTCTCCTCCATCGGGCTCCCCCCCCATTCTCGGAACCGCTCTTACTCCCGTCGTCATCATCATTGTCATCATCATCGTCATCGGAAACCAAGGCTTCAACATCGGCTTTGAGTTCTTTGGCCCTTTTTATCTCTTCAGTGAGGTCGAAACCTCGAGCATGGATTTCCTCGAGGGTCTCCCTCCGAGATCGGCACTTAGCAAGTTCAGCGACCTAATGTGCTCGAGTATCGGCAGTCTCGGCTGCCTCTCTTGCTTGGACCTGGGCAGCTTCAGCATCGGCCCGATAGACGGCCACAAGTGCATCTGCATCGGCCTTTGCCTTCTCGGCTTCAGATTCGTCCTTGGCAAGTACAGAGGCCAACCGAGCCTCGAGCTCCTCTATCCTTCTTGCTTGGACCGATCTTTTCTCCTTAATCTTTTTTAAGTTGGTTTTCGGCCGATGACAATTGGGCTCGAGCAGTTTCTTTCTCTGCAGCAAAGCGGTCCATTCCTTCTTTCCACTTCAAAGACTCCGCTCTTATCACATCGACTTCTTCATGGAGTTTTCCAATCATCTCAATTTTTGCTGCAGTTGTGAGACCAAAAGATTAGCCATCGTTCCGGTATCAAGCCCATAGGCTTTTAAAAGCATTATTACCTACTCGGAGAAATCGATCTGATCTTGGTAAGCCCTGGCCAACTCAGCTCGGAGATCTTTTATTTCCTCTCCCCTTTGGCCCAAAAGGAGCTTTAAGGAGTTCCTCTCCTCCGTAACCCGTTGAAGCTCGGCCTCGTATCGACACAGCTCAGTTCGGGATCGAGAACATGATTCTCGATGAACTGCCGTGGCCTGCAAAGAAAAAAGAAACGAGGTCAGAAGAGAAAAGCAAACTTAAAGGTAACGCCATATGATTTAAGGCCTACCTGATTCAAAGCCTGCTGCACTCCGTGAAAAAGATCTGATGCGTCACTTGTACCGGCTGTGTCTTCGACGCTGATGAACAGGTCACGAAAAGGATCCTCTCCATCATGAGGCCTATCTAATTAGAGGGCCCCCAAAGCTTGGGCCTCCCGAATCGCTCCTGCGGAAAAAGCAGGGAAGGTGGGCGAGCCTTCAATTGCTACTGCCCCAAATGAGTCATCTGGGGCATTCTCTTCGGTTCGAAAAGATTCGGGAAGAGCCCCTTCATACATATCCCCCATACGTCGGCTTGGGTGGGAAACATCTTCGATTTCCAGCAACTCGGGGACTCTATCCGAATCTCTCTCCGATATATCCTCAATTCAAGGCGGAGCCTTATGAACCATCATCGATCCAGCTGCCTGTGGAATGTCGGTGGTCTTCTTTGTTCGGGCCGCTAGAGCAAACCCATCGTTCTCTTCTTACTCTTCTTCTTCTTCATCCCTCAGATGCAGAACTGATTCTACGGTCAAAGGAATGGAATTCTTGTTCGGCTTACTAGCCGTCCTCTTCTTCGGTTTTTGATCTTCGAGGGCGGGGGCTCTTTTCCTATTATTATCTTTTACCGGCTTTGGGACAGAGGCTGAAGCCTCTTCCTCGATAGACGATGGCCTCAAAACCGCATCCTTGCTCATACCTGCATACGAAATTTTTTACTAAAGTATGTGAAAGGCATCTTATTCGAATTACCAAGGGATACGAGAGAAATTCTCACCATGATTTTTGGCCTCCCATCAGCCCTTTGACAAGTCGCGCCATGAGCGCTCGGCATATGAGAAGGTCGAAACTAGATCACGTACCCAATTCTTGAGATCGGGCACTGCGCCGGGCATCCAGGGAACCGCTGCGTCACAAAAAGGGATATTGGTGAGAAAATAAATGAAAGAACAACATAATAGAAGATAACAACAGAATTACACTTACGCTTCATGTTCCACTCCCCGGAGAAAGGCATCTTTTCGGTTAGGATCAGGTCTGAAGTCCTCACTCGAATGAACCGGCCATCCAGCCTCGATCCATATCTTCGTCTATACTCGAGAACAGAGCCTTGGTAGCTCGACATTGGATTTTTATTAACCCTCCTCGAAAAAGACGAGGACGGTATAATCGGACAAGATGATCGAGGGTGAAAGGCATCCCCTCGTTTTTTCTTACAAAATATCGGATCAAGATAATGATCCGCCAAAAGGAAGGATGTATCAAATCTATGATAATAGGGTCGAGGGGACCTAACGTGAAAGGGTAAGTATACACGCTTAAAAACCCTCTCACGTGAGTAGTAATATCCTCTTCAAGAGATGGCACTACCACCTCTGTGTTTTCCCAGTTATAATCTTTTTTAATCAGCTCGATGTGCTCCCGGGTTATCGAACAAATATATCTCGATAGGGCTCACATCGGCCAGGAGCCGGTGAACCTTTATCGAGTTTGAAATCGGAGGTAAGAACACATGCCGCCGGAACGCACTCCTCAGGACGAGGATCCACCGGTGTTTTATCGGCGGCGGTTTGGGAAGAAGAAGGTTTTTCCTTTTGGGGGACGGTTTTGGACGTCTTCACCATCTTGGATTTAAAGAAGGTGACAAAAATTCGGTAATTTGGAAGAAAATCTTGCAAAAGGGAATCACTGATTTGCGAATAAACTCAGAGAATACGAAAAAGAAATTAGGAAATTTGGAAGATTGAAGTTGCAAAAGTGATAAATGATAAAAGGAAGGGTTATTTATAGGTTCAAGCAAATGACGGTTCAGTATCAGCGGTGGCCGACCACCGTCTGACATGCATTAAATACCTTGAAAAACTAAATCGATGGGACAACTATTACGTGCGTCATGGTCGAGCCCAATATAAACGTCAGCTTGTAATCCGATCGAGCCGTTAAAAAGTCATATCGTTTCTCACCATATTCTTCTTGAGAAACGAGGGGACTATCTGTATACGGTTGAAACGAGGGGACTAGCCGTTAAAAAGTCATATCGATCGATCGAGTTCGAAACATAATCGATCGAAGCGAGACTTCAAGACGGATTCCGAAGATGATACAAACAAGCCTCGAGTCCGAGGGGCCGGTATCATTATCGAGCCCAAATCCAAATCAAACTATGATGCAAAGTGAAGTTATCGAGCTTATGATCCAGAGACCGACCAACATTGACCCCGAATCATTTCAAGGGTCCGAGTCAGAATCGAGCTCGAGCCAAGATCGAGAGCTCGAGTCAAAACCGAAAACTCAAGTCAATATCGAGCTCATAGACAAGAGCCGTTACAATCCCACTAGAGGAGAGAATCTCCGTAGGAATTGTGAAAAAGTTAATTTATCATGGGTCTCCCACTATGTATTTTTAATTATATCTAAAGTAAAATCCCTCTACTATAAAAGGGATGGTTATCATTTCTATAGGGGGCAAGTTTTATGCTTACATTGTAATCCAAATACCATATTCTCGATAGTGAAGAGTTGTTCTTTCAAGCTTCTTAAACAAATTTCACTTGTTTAGTCCTAAATTTCATCTTCTTCGCAACTTTATCTATTTAGCATTCTTTTCGAGCCATATTGGGGATTTCTATTTATCTCTAAAATTTGTATTAAGTTGCACCACATATCCTTAGAACTACGTATAAATTCAACTCTATCCGTTTTTCGGGTAAACACCAACAATTGATAACATTTTATCCCCCATTATCTCACTCCGAATTTATGAACCAAATGACTATTAGAATGTGTCGATGTTTCCGGCTTTAGGTGTTCGAACTTTTTGTGCAAAATGGCTCTGCACCTTGCATCATTAGAAGAGCCATTACCATAAAATCAAGGCAAAATACATAGTTTACCCATCAACCTTGCAGCGAAATCCCTGTTACAGGCAAAATACATAGTTTACGCACTCAGCCTTTCAAAAGTGTGTCTAAGATACACTACTTTTGACCAGATAGCACTTGCATGTTTGCACGCAAAAAACGCGCGTTAAGCCCATAAAAAATCCCATATTTTGTCTCCCCTCCCCACAGGAACCCCTCCCCCTGGTCTTCTTCCTCAGACCACCTTCCCTTTCATCTTCTTCCCCACATAGAATTGGTGAAAGAACATAAAATTTCAGATCTAAAATTTCAGCGGCTTTTGTTAGTTTATTATCCAAATATTGTGAAAACCATTTATTTGTGATAGATTTAAAAGTTTTAACAGTAGCATTGAAGGTTTGGTGAAAAAATCTAGAATCCGTCATTGTTGGGGTATTGAAAAAGCTTGAAAAGTCAATTGGGTCTTGTTGATTATTAAGTTGTTGAACTCAATTTGTTGCTCGATTTTTTTCCGACTAGTTAGATAGTGTGGTTGACTTTTGGCGTTGGAAACTCTCACAAACAACCATGGTAGTGGCAACAATAGTGCTTAAGATAGTAAATGGGAAGATGAAGATGGGGTTTAATTGTAATTTCTAATTTTTTTCCCATTTTAAAGTCAATGACACGTGTCACGACCCTACTAGGACGTGCCTTTCACGTTATCTGAAAAATTGGTCAAACACAAAAATGGTATGTCTTGGACACTTTTAAAAGGTTGAGTGATTAAAAGATTTTCATGAACGAGAAGTGTGTAACAGGAATTTCGCTGCAAGATCGATGGGTAAACTACCGTCTAAGTAAGCCCACTTCATACAAAATTTCATTCGCCATTCACTGCATATTAGATATTATGCACAAGTTATATCATCATATTTCCAGAAAAATGAGAATTTCCAAAACCTTCCTAATGCATGACGTATTTTCATGCTTCATCTTCACTACTTTCAAGGACTACAAGAGCTTTCTTGGTTTTCAACTTCTTAACAGCATTGCCTTTGCTCTCTTTGCCATCTGCATCTTGTTGGGGGTCAGACTTATAACTGGCAATCTCTTCAAGAATTCTGCTCCCATATTTTTCAGTCTTCAACTTGCCAATAATCTTCTCCAACTGCATGAAATATAGAGTAGTTTTCAGATGATTGCATCACATGAGAAGCTGTAAGGCTGTGCTATCAATACAATCGTCTAAATTATAGCAGTCTCAGCTCTTAGCTAGAAGGATTTTTACATTTTCATACCAAACAAACATTGCATCTCTGCATCTCACTACTTATGAGGCCAAAAATTATCATGCTTTGGAATAACTATGTTGCACGCACACGAAGCATACAGTAGGTACAATTACTCTGCAAAGTCCTCATTAAAAATTTGAACTCTTTGTCAAATTACCTGTCCTACTTCCTTTCTTTGGCCATACCCGAAGACAATCCATTTTGAGAAAGTAAATTTTTCCTATACTCGTCTCAGTCTGTACTTGATTTGGCACTATTATTATGTCAAGATTTGAAAATGTGAATATTTCAGCATTAAGAGAGGAAAACTGTGGAAGTCATTGCCTACTTTTCTTAAATTTTTGGAGTAATGTAAGAGAATATTTTGCGAGAGACGTAAAAGCGGGGTCCATAAATGTTTAGTGGATAACAGTATCAATCACTAGATTTTCCTTTTAGCAACATAGATTTTACTTTGACATGAATGGAAAGGAAAAACCAGACAATTGGAGGTAACAAATGTAAATGTCCTCTTTCCTGAAGATTTTAGTAACTACAACAGACAATCAAGTAATGAAACACCGAAAGTCAGAAGTTAAAGCATCTACTCTGTAAGAAAAAACAGTAGGAGTGTACCTCTTCAATTGATTTTGGTTTCTGTGCAGTCAAGGCACTGATTTGTTGCATAGATAATACAGAATGAGGGAATATTCCCCCATGGATGGATGCGAGTTCTTTTCGCAGCTCGTCAAGCTTATCATCCAATCCTGATGATCTTTCTCGTTTGGATGATCTCATACTGCTCGAGGTCCTTGATTGTCTAGTTGACATCTCAACCGTAATAATTTTCTTACCTGAAAGTTAACCAGAAAAAGAAGTTAGATGTCTATAGGACTCTATGATGACTTGAAGTCCTTTTCCTTTCTTTGATTTGTATGTAACTAGAGATGATAAAGAGCTGGCTTAGCCGAATTCTTTGTGCCTGGGCTTGACTTAGCATTCTTTCAAGCCAAGCTCAAACTCAGCTTGAACACTAAATGAGGCAAAAACTTCGCCAAAAACTTGAGACCAAAACACTGAAAAGATCGGATTCACACTTTGCTAATCTCTAGAACAATGAAATTGTCCAAGTGCTAAAGCAAAGAATGAAGAAATTGTCTAATACTAATTGTATTGGCTGAAAATCAGCAGAACTCTTCTTAATTCTCACAACCACGACAATCCCTTTAAGTATTTAGAAAGCATCCAACTAGGAAAAGGAAAAGGAAAATAAAAAATTCATTTCTACGAAGTGGGTGCAAGATGAGGTGGTTGTCCTTATGGTTGATTGATTGACGGAAGAACAAACCTTTAAACTGGACTAAGTGGTGGTGCAAGGCACCGACTTCACTAGCACGCATCAGCAATAACTTTGCATCACATATTGAAGGTGGAACCAACAGGGNGGGGGGGGGGGGGGGTGGTGTTCTCATCAACTTGACTTCTGAAGGGAGAAACCAAAATGATAAAGTTGAATACTGTGCATCCTGAGAGGTAGGATGAGGATGTTATTTGAAGGTTGAGAGATGCTGCATATTTGCGTATCTGGAAAGAAGGGTAGTTACCTTGCAATACTTGCATTGCCAGAGGTCCTACTGTGACATAAGCATTTGTTGCATAGGCAGTATGCTGATATTCTTCTTTCTGCATGGAGGAAAAGGCACAAAGATGTTAGTTCAAAACTTAGGAAAGGGAAAGGAGACAGAAGCGGATACACTTTTCGTATAATCATATCCATTATTCCCTGGCTTGTTTCTACCTAAGTTGCTCAGACACGGGTGCGGATCTAGAGGTCGGATCCTTTGACATGTAAATTCTAAGATTCAGGGATACGGATCCTAGTACGGATGTGGGTGCGGGGATCCGGCTAAAAATAATTCAAAAAAATAAAAATATAAAAATATCTCTAAGTTATAAGAAATTTTGTGGAATACTTACGTATAGCTTGTGAAGTGTGGATTTTCTTTTTATTCTCAAATTGTAGATAAGTAAAGGATTAATTTACTAGATAAGGTATGCTATTTTCTTCAAATTTACCCTAGTTATGGTTCTTATTTCGGGAATCAAATTGTATCTCGTCTCGAATTTTTTCGTCAGTCGTGGTCAAAGTACCCAAAATTGTTTGACCATATCCGGTATGGATCCCATACCCACACCCATACTAGTGTCGTGTCGACACGGGTGCGACACCTAAACTGCCGTGTCGGAGCAACTTAGGTTTCTACTGCAAAGGCAAAGGGGAAAAGGGAAAGTTTTATTTATATGCTTTGTACTTCTGTTCTTGTAATTAATTCTATTTACCCTCTAAACTAGAATCTATTACACCCTAGTCCAAAACTTGGATCACAGCTTAATACTTGAAAATTTGTTACCTCAAATTTAATTTGTCGCTGAAGTGTTAAGTTCCTATTCTGATATGTTAGTAAAGTAAGAGAGTAACTTAAGAAAATAAAAATAAATAAAAAGAGTCCTTACAAGAACATGATCCAAAATAAGCTTGATGACAAGTTGCTCCAATTCATCTTTTTTCAGATCAGAACCTGGGTAAATACCAAGAACGCTAAATTTTTTATTCTATGTCTGCTATCCCTAAAGTAAGAAACAAAATAAGAGAACTAAAAGCAAAAAGTAGCAGAGTGATAATAAAATACTGCATTTGGAAAGAAGCTGCTCAGTTAGACCGACATTAAGCTCTCAATATAAGCATTGACCAAGACAGTGGATGAAAGGGGAACACGCTCATGCTAAGGGGGGAGACAATCCAACTTTGAGACAAGACACAAAATCTATATCCATGTAAAAGCTGCTTTTAGTAGCCATATTTTCCCCTTGACATAAAGAATTGATTTGGCCTAATGATACTTGAGACTGCTTTTGCTCAAGACTCTGTTTTGGACTTCCTTTTTCTCTAAGAAAAGCATATTTTTTGCAATGCCATGATTTTGTGAAACTTACCTAGGTTCTTCTGATTAACCTTTAGCTTTTCCACCAGTTGCAACATTGTGACCCTCTGATCATTCTCTTGTATATCTTTCAGCATAGAGACAACGAGTTTTGCATGACCTGCACACAAATAAAGCATAAGCAGAAAGATACTTCCCAATGGGAAACAAGATTAAATTTGAAGCATCGCATTGTAGATGTGATAAAATCTGAAAGGATGATATTTTTTTAATTGGAGTACAGAACAATCGCAACAATAGTTGTGCACCCTCCAACAAAAAAAGAAGAAGAATAGAGAGAGAAATGGAGCTTAGAAATCCTAAATACTATGATTTCTTTCAGTGCAGCTAGTTGTCAAAGAAATTGACCATCCAACCCAACCCTAAGTCAATTGGTGGAGTAGATCTTTATAAACCTTTCTTTAATTTTTTGATAAAGTGCCCTTAATCATCGGGTGACTTTATATCTTTCAAATTTGAATTTTTTAAAGGAGATAGACCGTAGTGACTCAAGAAAAAGAGTACGCTTGGAGCAGATGACTCAAATGAGCTAGGAGTTAATTGAGAAAAGCCCAAAACAGTAGAGGCAATGATTCAATAAGCTTGAATATTTGTGAATTGTGATAGAGAAGTCCAAAATCGTAAGAATGAGTTGAGAAGAGAATAACTAGATGATGATTCAATAAGCAGGAATATTTGTGAATTGTGATAGAGAAGTCCAAAATCGTAAGAATGAGTTGAGAAGAGAATAACTAGATGATGATTCAATAAGCAGGAATATTTGTGAATTGTGATAGAGAAGTCCAAAATCGTAAGAATGAGCTGAGAAGAGAATAAATAGAATTATCCCTATTAGAAAGGAAGGAAAACCAAATGAGTACTAGACAATGAACCAGCATATCAAAGGTTAGATCTGATGCCATATGAAAATATGAGCACCAAACCACACGTAAGGTAATGAGTGGATAACCGAATAATCTTTATACACCACTTTAGATTCCCTTAATCAATGTGGAAATTTATTACTAATACAAGTAAATATAGATCTATGCCGGTCTATCCATCTTAATTGAACTGCTACAAAAAAATAAATATTTTTCAATTAAAAGTACGAATCTGGAGTTGTCGATTCTTCTTTTTGTTTGTCAGAAAATAACTTTTCCCTTTCCGCTTAATAAAAAATTAATACAAAGAGGCGTTACTCGATATGTCAAAGATCTCAATGTGAATTAGGGCAGTCATCCCCCTTCTTACGGGTTCCCTACCAGCCCAGTGACACACCAACCACAACCCTTCTCCTTCTCCTATTATAAAGCTCCCTATCCCTTTATTTATCTTTCATCCCCCTTGAATAAGTAAGACCTTTCTCCTTCTATTTCAAGGAAAAAAAAGGGGCGAAGAGAACGATGCAGTGCTGTCCTTGTATATCTACTATAAAATTCAGACTTAGACAAGAAGCCAACATGCAAAAACAAGAACAGACTTCCTTAGCTCGAATATTTGCATCATATATATGCCCAGATTAAGTATACTAGAAAAATGAAAAACTAAAGCCAAGTGAAATATGGACATTTTAAAGTAAGAATTCACGTTTCGTGAGCTTGTATATTACTCAGTAAAGCTGCTTTTGCAGAAAACATTCACTACTAGGATATTCGTTAATTTGTTGGAGACTGTTGAAAGAGAACATCTGTTATATATATATATATATATATATATATATATATCAACAATTTTATTGTCGGATCAAAATGATCATATCTTAAATCCAAGAAAATGGTTGATAACTAAAACTAACATAACTTATCGAAGACTGCGAAAGACAGACTAAGGTAAAGCCATGCCTTTAGAGAACTCATAGACATAAAAAGCAGATTGGTATGACTATTAAAGTCAACACAACGTACTTGAGACATCCAGCTCTTTCACCTCATTTGAAAAGGCACAGTTGTCACACATTCCTGAGCAAGATGAAGGTCAAGTGAAGTTGTGGTGCTCTTCTGGCTATTGTGACAAGTTAACATCACAATCCACTTACGAAGTTAGTGAACCATACCGTTACATTCTTGTAAAGGCTCAGCAAAATGTCGGAAGAAAGCACTTCGACGGCACTCTCTTTTAGACTGCAACAAAAAGATATTTATTCCTCTAGCTGATTGTTAACAATAAACTGTTTACACATGAGCACTAGTAGAAATTGAGTTCCGGGTTCCCTATAACTTGGGAGCAATGGCTCTTATCGAGCAAAACTATAAAACCGGTATACTTGTGGCAACTGTCACTTACTGGTTAAATAATGTCAGTACATATAACTACGGATTAAGCAACCAAGAACCATCATTCCTATTTTGACAGGAATGGAAAACCAGCATAATATCAGAACAAACTCTCTTGCATTCCCAATCTAACTAGTCTGCAACTTTCGAATTTCGAGAGTCAAACGAGTTTTTCTTTGACCAGATTTTTGCATATACCTTTTAAATATTTTGAATTGCTAATTATTGAGATTTATATTACTTTTATGTAGTTTCCAAATATGTAAATTTTATTTCAAAAAACTTTAACGATTTTCTATGGCCGAATTTGCGGTCAAAATTGAGAAGTTTGACTATCGAAATCCTAACTGCATCAAACAAATTGGGGCGGAGGGAGTATTCAATTACAGCTTAAAAAAGATGTATTCAGGAGCGAGGTACTCTAAGAGCATCTCACATCAAAATGGTATGCAAGTTTATAGCAGAAGCTGGAAAGCTGGCAGGAATAGCAACTCCAAACCTTTCCCTTAACACTAAATGTCTTTTATTTTTGTACAGCTGAAGTACTCTTACACCTGTAAACTCCCCTGACAATTTTTTGGACTTTGTTAGCTCATTAACTCTAGTCTAGGATTCATTGTACTGGAGCTAGAAAACTGTTTTGTATTTCTTTTTTGCATCTTCTTGATGCCATTTATAAATCTCTTCATCAAAAACATATTGCTTTAATATGGAGCCTTTTTCATATTCTAAGTTTTTTTCCCTATCATATTCTAAGTTTGACACCGAGCTTTTTATTGGTTAATGATTGTAGGAGATCAATAAACTGGCACAAAGGAGGTCCATCCATGCATAGTACCAGAAATAAAGGAAGAGACTGCATCAATCTATATAAAGCTTACGTCTTCTTGAGAAGGGAAGAATTCAGCATGACCAGTATGGTATAATTCAGAAGATGACAAAAAGAATTAAGCTAAAAACACAGTTGAAAATAGCACATGGCATTACTTCTTTCAAAATATTGTTTGAATGGGCATTGTATTATTAGATTGAATGTTCAAAAGGAATACTATGTGAAATTAGAAGTATCTAGAGTTATTAGCCTTGAGTGCTCACAAATAACAAAAAGCAATATAAATAAAGTTCCCTATATTTTTAAAAAAAAAAGGATAGCTGGGGTAGTTCTATTATGATGGAAATTTTCACATTAAATGTGCAAATCGTGATTGTGACTAGAAGTCCTGAAACAGAAAAGAGGTATTAAGTTTTGTCATATGAATCCTACTGACAATTCTTCAACAGTCAATTTAGGAGGAAGCCATACAGAAACTAAAGCACAAGAGAAGGCACAAAAGATGTTTATCATCTAAACTGTCTTCCTCATATGTGGACAGGGTGAGGGTTTAGGTAATCAGATGATATCGTAAGGTGACCTTCAAACATTACTAAGAAATTACATCACTTTTTCCTTTCCATACCAGCAAAATCTTCTGCTTATTTGCACACTTTTACAGGGCATATTGAATGTTTATAATTGTATAATTCTCAATTTATATAGGCTTATCCAAGTACCTTAGCTGGTTTTGGGAGAAGAAACTACTGATATATTCTAAGCAGAATGAGCTGTTGCTATATCCCTTGAGTAAGATTATATTACTAATGGATTCTTTTTAATAGCAAGCGAATAAGATAACTAAAAGGTATGCGCATGGAATCAGAATGACATCAATATAGACAACACAACCGCTAATATGAAAAAATTCTCAACAGCCAACATTATAGCCAACCAAGTAAAAAAGGCACAGAAAACATCAAAGCAAAGAGTTGAGGAGCCATACCTGACAATAACGTACTATGTCATACAGATTTTTCAATCCAGAATTCTCGTAGAAGACCATAGAACTCTGCCCAAAAACCACAACAGCCACATATTACATCATCTTGCACTAAAACATTAAGAGAAAAGGCATAAGTTGCCCCTTAAACTTATCCGGCAAAGTCATTTACACACTAACTTTACGGGTGACCCATCACCCCACTGTTCTTGTTTGAAGCGAATTTATTTACCCCCTAATATGTCACAACCATATCCGATCAAAACTGTATTTTACACGTGGTGACATGTGTCGTTACCATATTTTTTCCTTTTTAATTTTTTTTTTCACTAGAATAAACCCTTCCCCTCACTCCACCTCATTTTTTCCTCTTTTCTTCCTTCCGGCGTTTGTTCCCCCCTAAAGTAGACTATTCGAAATAATATAAAAAATAATGGAAGAATTTGGAAATTAGCTACATCTAATTAGGAACCCGTAAACTATTTGTCAAGCCTATTGGATTTATAAGAAAAGTTCATATGCTAATGATGATTAGAATGGAAAATGCCATGTTATTGTTCTTTATAGCTACTCATGTTCTATGCCATGATTAACCTTTGGAGGATGTTTTTGGAATTAAATATCAGAGCAGAAGGGCATATTTTAGCTAAGTCTTTTTAGGTTGAATGTTGCAGTAATTTTTGGAATTTGGGTATGGAGGGAAATGATGGAGACCGGCAGCAAAAGGGCCAACGATGGAAATGAGAATGTAGGTTGTTGGTGGAGTTTGGAATTTTAGTTGATGGAGAGGTTTATGTGAGGTGATGGAGATGATGAAAATGGGAGTGAAAGAGGTCGGGTGGTGACAATAATTTTCCGGCCAAATCTTGGTCGGACAATTATGGTGGTTTCACCATTGAAGACCACAGACCTTAAGATTAAGGAGAACAGAAAAAGAAGGAAAGGACAAAAAGAAAAAAGAGAGTAAAGAATAAGAAAAAATAAAATATGCAAAATTATTAAGAATCAATAATTAAGTATAATTAGCTAACACCCAATTGAAATATGACACGTGCACAAATTAGTTAGTTTTTCACAGTTTCTTGCTTTCACGCGCTTATGGGAATGTGAAGACACATTCTTTGCCAAGTCACCTTTTAGGTGGTAAATAAATTCGCTTCAAACAAGAACAGTGGGGTGATGGGTCGCCCGTAAAGTTAAAGTGTGTAAATGTCTTTACCGGACAAGTTTAAGGGGCAACTTATGCCTTTTCTCAAACATTAACAGTATCAGTCCAAACAAATTTTACCTGCCTAGGAACATCAGCAGGTCTAAAGAAAAGAACGCATTCAGAAGGAAGTCCATCCCTTCCCGCTCGACCACTTTCCTGTAGAAAGACAGTTAGACAAAGAAAGCCTATATCATGCAAAATAAGCTTGGGGTAGGGAATTAGGACCTGGTAGTAAGTCTCCATTGATTTGCTCAAGCTGTGATGGACGACAAATCTGACTATGAATAAGTAGGACTGAGTTTACCATATCAGAGCAGAATACCTCTATGAATAACAGATTAATAGAAGAAGCAATATTAACTATTATGTTCTGCTCGCCACAAAGTAGAAAAGGAAATTGACGTCTAAGAAGCTTAGGGATAATTTTGTTTCACAAGTAAAGAAGATTAACAATATTATTAGGGCACTACAAGAAAAGAACTCCTCTCATTTCTTGAAAGAAGAGAACTAGGTGAGAAACAGACACAGAATTCCACCCATGGTCCCTCAATCTTATGAGGACACTGTTAAAAAACGGAAAGACCATTTCCAATAGCTGCTTCTAAATGTCTTAGATGGATAAGAAATTTATACATTTCAAGCAAACTTCTCGATAAGATGTATTAAGACAACTGTCCAGCAAATGACATCTTTTTCCGTCTCTACTGAATGATAGGACTGGGGAAACAAGATTCCAGTGAATCGTAAATGTTTGATTTTTCTCACATAAAGCTATTTGAACTGCAGTCATCCTAGTGCTGAAGAGTCTACACTGCATTACTCTACTAATGCTGGTAGATAGATAGTCAGCAACTAGCTTTGCTACACCATCAACTCTCTCTTTCTTCTTCCTCTTGTTCGTGTATGTTCCAATTTTACCCGATGCTCCCCAGGAGATGCTAATCATCTCTTAACAGCATTATACTTTCTTAATCGTGCTACAACATGTGTGAATCACCTATTTTCCCCATTATAGCAGGTTGTAGATGGTCAAAACTTCATCTGGGTGAAGCCATTCACCTTATTAGGAGACTGGTGGACAGTATAGGGAAAGAAAGACGGACTTGCAGATGGTGTTCACTGACCTAGAGAAAGCTTACGACAAAGTTCCGAGGGAGGTTCTTTGGAGATGCTTGGAGGTTAGAGGTGTGCCCGTAGCATATACTAGGGTGATCCAGGATATGTATGATGGCGTTAAGACTCGGGTTAGGATGGTGGGAGGAGACTCGGAACACTTCCCTGTCGAGATGGGCTTGCATCAAAGGATCCGTGCTTAACCCGTTTTTATTTGCCTTGGTGATAGATGTTCTGACGGGGCACATTCAAGAGGAGGTGCCATGGTGCATGTTATTTGCGGATGACACAATACTAATTGATGAGACGCAAGGTGGTGTTAACGCGGGGCTGGAGGTTTGGAGATAGACCCTGGAGTCAAAAGGTTTCAAGATGAGTAGGACCAAAACAGAGTATTTGGAATGTAAGTTTAGCAACGTGACTCATGATGCAGACGCGGAAGTGAGGCAGGATTCACAAGTCATCCTTAAGAGGGGAGTTTCAAGTACCTCGGATTTGTTATCCAAGGTAATAGTGAGATTGACGAGGATGTCACACATTGTATTGGAGTGAGATCAATGAAATGGAGGCTCGCTTCCCGGGTTTTATGTGATACGAAGGTGCCACCAAGATTTAAGGGTAAGTTCTACAAAGTGGTGGTTAGACTTACTCTGTTATATGGGCAGAGTGTTGGCATGTGAAGAACATCCATGTCCAAAAGATGACAGTAGCAGAAATGAGGATGATGAGATGGATGTGTGGGCATACCAGATTAGATAAGAAAAGGAATGTTGATATTCGGGACATGGTGGGAGTGGCCCCCGTGCAGGACAAAATGAGGGAAGCTAGGTTGAGATGGTACGGGCATGTGAATAGGAGGTGCATTAATGCCCCAGTGAGGAGGTGTGAGAGATTGGCAGGGGGAGAGGGTTGAGGAGAGGTAGAGGTAGGCCTAAAAATTATTGAAGAGAGGTGATTAGGCATGACATGGTGCTACTCCAGCTTACTGAGGACATGACCCTTGATAGGAGGGTATAAAAGTTGAGAATTAGGGTAGCAGGATAGTGGTTAAGCGGGTGTATCTCATTTACATGCCGATAACATTAGAATTAGTCTCATGTTTTCGTTTCTTCGTATCCGTAGATTTCTTTTACTATATGTTGTCTCTATCGCTACGATTTATATATCACCTTTGCTTGCTATGGCCACTACTTGTTGTTTCTGCTTCTTTTTAGTTTTTTTTCCTTGAGTCAGGGGTCTATCGAAAACAGTCTCTCTACCTTCATAAGGTAGGGGTAAGGTCTGCGTACACTCCACCCTCCCCAGACCCTACTTTGTGGAATTACACTGGGTTTGTTGCTGTTGTTGTTTAGCAGGTTCTAACGAAATATCCATGGCTGCAGTTTGGCACCATTATTCCAGCCTCAAACCAACCCTTCTCTGTTGTCATTGCTGTCGATGCTGCTTCTATGCAACCCATTCCCATGATCTAATCCCACGTCCAACCTTCCCTGGCTGCAGCTGCTCTATCATTGTTCTATTTGGCCGTCAGGGATGACTACCATATGCCCATCCCTCCTTCCTCCGCATATCTGACGGGCTATTTCCAGATTGCTAGAAAGATACCGTTTAGTTGTTCCTTTTAAATTTTTTTCAACTTGCAATTATTTCAGTTTTGTTTTTTCCCCTTATTTATATTTTGCTTGCAATTAATGTTAACTAGTTGCTGAAGAAGAATTGGTAGGATTTTCTTTATTGAAAAATCTTTTACTGGTTTGAAATTATTGTGCATTTGTGCTGCTATTTTCCTTATGTTTTTACATCGTATCTCGATTGAGATAAAGAATGTTGGTTCTGAAAAAGAAACAAAAAAAAAGTCGACGAAGATAGAGTTGGGGTTAGGCAATCACTTGTTAATAACTTTATTAAAAAGGGCAGCCCGATGCACAAAGCATCCTGCATTCATGCAGGGTCCGGGGAAGGAAAGAAAATCTTAATGCCTAAGATATTGGAAGGAAGAAATTAATCACGTCGCGTATCAGGCAATAGACTAGATCATTATTCTTTTTTGATATATAATAACTAGATTATTATTAGGACAATGAAAACCATGTGTCCGAGAAAGGTTCCCTATCTGACTCTTAACCCATTCCATATTATCCAATCTTGAGTGATAGCAATCCTCAGATATCGCATTTTCTATCAAACAAACCCTTTGTTTATAGAGTAAGATCCACAAGCTTGCTTAAAGAAATTTTTGTCAAATGAACCTTTTCTAAGCACCCAGGGGCGGAGGCAGGGAAGAATAATATCCTCACTAATGTATGAATTTATATGATAAGACATGTCAAAAGGACATAACCTGGTAAGTACTAACCATCTGGCTTGTTAATTCCCATACCAAATGCGACCTGAAAAAGAAAAGAACTTCTAAGTATGGTGATTGCCATTTGAAAATTAGAAGAAATCAGGGAACTTCATGATACATACCGTACCAACAATCACCTGCAATTTCCCACTACTCCACCTATGACATCACATATAAGTTACTTATTGAATTAGAATAAGATTTTACAATTAAGAAACCGATACCATGAACTATAACCGTGCAGCTAAAATAGTAGAATAAAATCACAATTTGGCAGCTAATAGTATGAAATATTTTCAATGCGTAGTAATTTTGGGAAAACTATTTGTTAGATCATTTTCCAGAGATTGGTTGGGTGTAAAGGTAGGTAACTTATGGTAATAGCAGAAGGTGGGGATGGGCATGAGGTGATCTCTTAGCGATAGCTTTGTGTACTAAAAGCCATGTATTATTTGAAATAACAGTAGAAGGTGGGGATGTAACATGGCATGATGTCTCGGTGATAATTCTGAATACTAAGGCTAACAACAGTATTTATGTGTTATTTGAAACAAATGAAATAGAGTAACAATTGAGATATTTATAAAAGAAAATGACTTAAAACCATCTACGAGGTAAGTTATTTTCCCCTAAATGTTCTCAATGATAGAAGGCATTAATAAAAAAATGATCTCATCAAGCAAAACATTTTACAACAAACTATACACATCATAAGAGGAAAAAAAGAAACAAAAATTTCAAGTAAGACATGAAGAGCACACAAAGGACTGACAAGATGTCCTTAAGCGACAAAGTCAAAACATAAAGAACAAAAAAGAAACTCTTAACAATCAAAAAAAAAAAAAAAACTCTTAACAAGTAGTGCTTCGTGATCCCCATAGCACAGCCTAAATGTCATGAACAGAAACTAGAAGCTTATTTTACCATAAAACAATCCAACAACCAGCTCTCGAGCAAAATAAACCATCGAACCACAGGAGAAAATATGTTATTGATATTGGATGATAAATACAATACAAGAGGTCACTATTTATAGCTATACACTACAAAGAGATATTACTCCTCTTCCAATGTGGGACAAGACTACACTATACATATCTGTAAACTAACAATATTGAAGGTATGCTTGTTGGCCGCGCCTTCAGTCTTAATACATGTAACTGGGAAGCGGGTATGCTTACGCCGATTATCAAGGTGACTCCCATTTCCCTCGGCGTCTTGATAATCGAGCAGAGTCACCTTTTACTTTAGTCCATTCAGATGTTTGGGGTCCTAGTCGGGTCAGTTCCACCTTGGGATTCCGCTACTTTGTCTGTTTCATTGATGATTATTTCAGGTGCACTTGGATATTTTTGATAAAAAATCGATCTGAGCTGTTTTCTATTTTCCAGACTTTCCACGCTGAAATTCAAAATCAATTTGGGGTTTCTATTCGCACCTTTCGTAGTGATAATGCCCGAGAGCGTTTGTCTTTCCCATTTCAGCAGTTTATGAAATCTCATGGGATTATTCATCAAACATCTTGTTCGTATACATCTCAACAAAATGGGGTAGCTGAAAGAGAATAGACGTCTTATTGAAACTGCTCGTACCCTACTCATACAATCTCATGCTCCCTTGCGTTTTTGGGGGATGCAGTTCTTACATCTTGCTATCTTATTAATCGTATACCATCTTCAAATATCCAGAACCAAGTTCCATTCTCTGTCATGTTTCCCCACTTACCTTTGTTTTCTCTTCCACCCCGTATCTTTGGAAGCACTTGTTTTGTCCATAACCTTACTCCAGGAACAGATAAGTTAGCTCCTCGTGCTCTGAAGTGCGTATTTCTGGGTTTCTCGAGAACACAAAAGGGGTATCGATGCTACTCTCCTGACCTCCAGCGGTACCTTATGTCCGTTGATGTTACCTTTTTTGAAACCCAATCATACTTTACAGGTTCAGGTCATCACTTAGATATTTCTGAGGTATTACCAGTTTCAACTTTTGGAGATTCAGTCACTCCAGTGTTGTGACCAAACACACTCACGCAAGTATACGTGGTCGTCAAGTAATATAGTAGTGAGTAGA